CCCCATCCAATCACCTATGCTCCGCCCCCTCCTGCTCACATTTCGTTCTGCGAACCCGTGTCTCAAGGCTTGCTTGCGTCTACGACCAAGATTGTTCTCATTCAATCGCGCCCACAGGGCCACAGGGCGCAAAGGAGTCTACGGTCAAGGCCGGGTCTGCTCAAGCAGGTTGCGGAAGACGAGGCGGACGATACATCAAACGAGCAATTTTACTCGGCCGCTGAAGACAAGCCCAGTGAGAGCGGGACCGAAATGGAGAGCACAACTCCGCCTGATGATTCGGAAACCGAKGGTTCGGTCGGCAATGCGAGTGACACCTCAGATGACTCGCTGGAGGATATGATCTCGCTGGCAGCCCCGGAACTTCCGCAACCACCCTCCGGTGTTCTGTCCTCAATCACTTCCGCTACACCCCGTGCTGGTGGTCGGAGACTTGATGGCATTCACACCCCTGGGTCAGTGGCATCTAACTTTACGTCGGCGACTTTGCGCCCGGGGAGAGGACCCGGCAAAATCTTCAAGGCGGAAGGTTTACTTCGTGGAATTCCAATCGAGCTCCTACACCCCAGGCCCCGGGAAGACGATGACCCGGAGTCATTCATCTATGTAGACATCAGCACGCTTGCGAAAATCGGCTGTTTTTCCGGGGACTGGGTGAGAATCGAGGCCACAGAGGAACCCCAGGCGAATATATTCTCGTCGATCCAGCTCGGAAGCTTCAACGAGCATGAGGAAGAGCATGGTAATTGGCGACCAGTAAAAATCTACGGCTTGCCAGGCCTTCCGTCTGCCAAACCTAGGTATTCGATCAACCAATCTTCTGACAGGCGTCCCAGCATCTCGCAACGCCCTGCTCTACGTCTCACTCCGTCGGTCTATGCTTCTCCATTGCTGTTGAACAATCTTGAGAACACGAAATATGTGCGCATCTCGCCGATGGCATTTGCCACGGTTAACGGCCCTTCGAAGTCCGCTATTCTGCACCAAGTCAAGGCCGGCTCGGCCAGGCAGCCGCCTTTGGCTAAAGAGGTGAACCTCTTGAAGGTTTCTACGCCGCTCTCTATGGATCGTGTCCTCCAGCCGGCCTTGTTCGCAGGACTTAAGCAGTATTTCGAGTCGAAAAGGCGGATCTTGAAAAGCGGTGATCTTGTTGGCATCAGTGTTGATGAGGGACTTGGTAGAGCTGTTTTCTCTGGTGCCGCAGCCACGGATGCAAGCACTCCAGACGAAGATTTGACAACACGTTTTAATCAAGCCAATGAGTCCGCGCAGGGTGGTGTGAAAAAGGTTGGCGTGGCATGGTTCCGCGTCGCTCATGTGGTTCCCGGCAAGTCCGAGGATCAGGATGAAGACGATCAATGGGGAGGGGTAGCCGTTATTGACTCTGCGACGACTAGGATGGTGCAGGCGGGAAGCGATGTTAGCCGGGTTCCGGGCACCTTGGAGAACGGTTGGGAGTATTGGCTTGGGGTGAAATCCGTACCAAAGTCCATTAGCAATGCGCCGGCCCCCCATGGTCTAGTCACTGAGCCACCGCAGCTGTTCATACCGCCAGTGCAAAAACGGATCCGCGAGCTCATGGCAGTGGCAACGAGTCCTCGCGCTATTCAACTGGGAATGAAACCTGTTGTGATTCTTTTGAGGTCGCAGCAAAGACATATTGGAAAGGCTACCGTCGCAACGCGCGCGTGTGCAGACATTGGCCTTCATACCTTTCCTATTGATGCCTACGACATCCTGACTGAGGGCGGCGCCAATGGCGGCGACGTGAAAACAGAAGCCTACCTTAAAGCGAGAGCCGAGAGGGCATTTCACTGTGGATCGCACTGCACAGCGCTTCTCATCAAGCACATTGAGGTGTTGACTGCCGATAGAATCGTGTCGGCGATGGCAGAAATCCTTTCAGACGCGAGAGTTGTTATTGCCACAACCACGGATGTGGAGCAGATTCCCGAAGGGATCCGCAGCATGTTCACTCACGAATTCGAAATGACTGCGCCAGAAGAGAAGGAGCGTGAGGGCATTCTCCGGAATGCTGTCGCTGAACGAAGCATCAGACTGTCACCCGACGTCGACTTGGGATCGGTAGCTCTGAAGACTGCCGCTTTGGTTGCAGGTGATTTAGTTGATGTCATCGAAAGAGCCTCGGCCATCAGAACCGCCCGCCTGGAAAAGCTAGCGGAAACGGCAAGCAACGTCGCGTCAGGATCCAAAGTCAGTGTCAGGGACGTGCTTGTCTCTGGCGGCGATGCCGCACGAGGTGTCACCAAGGCCGATTTCGACGCCGCTGTTGAAGCTGCGAGGAAGAATTTTGCCGACTCCATTGGGGCCCCCAAGATTCCAAACGTCAGCTGGGAGGACGTGGGTGGACTGACTAATGTGAAGGATGCCTTGGTTGAAACTATTCAGCTGCCTCTTGAAAGACCCGAGCTCTTTGCCAAGGGCATGAAGAAGCGCAGTGGTATTCTGTTCTATGGTCCTCCCGGTACCGGAAAGACCTTGCTTGCCAAAGCCATTGCCACCGAATTCTCCCTCAACTTCTTCTCCGTCAAGGGTCCCGAGCTGCTCAATATGTACATTGGTGAATCCGAGGCGAATGTGCGGCGAGTGTTCCAGCGCGCCCGGGATGCTCGGCCTTGTGTTGTTTTCTTTGATGAGCTGGACTCGGTCGCGCCGAAGCGTGGAAACCAAGGCGACAGTGGCGGTGTGATGGACCGCATCGTCAGTCAGTTGCTTGCCGAGCTAGATGGGATGAACGGTGGTGAAGAGAACAGCGGTGGTGTATTTGTTATCGGCGCCACCAATCGTCCCGACCTACTGGATACGGCCCTTTTGCGTCCTGGCCGTTTCGACAAGATGCTCTACCTAGGTGTTTCCGATACGCATGAGAAACAAGCTACGATCCTTGAGGCTTTGACGAGAAAGTTCACACTCGATCCCGAGGTGTCGCTGCGCCGGGTCGCCGACCGGCTTCCCCTTACTTATACGGGTGCCGATCTTTATGCTCTGTGCTCCGACGCTATGCTCAAGGCTATCACGCGCAAGGCGACGGCGGTGGACGAGAAAATCAAGCAGCTACCGGGCGGGCCGGTTAGTACTGCATACTTCTTTGACCATCTCGCGACGCCGGAGGACGTCGCTGTCATGGTGACGGAGGAAGATTTCAACCGGGCTCAGAGCGAGATGGTTCCCAGCGTCAGGTACGTTACTGGCCAATACTTGATAAGATTATGGAAAGAGGTCTTGCTAATATCCCTGCAGTGCCAAGGAACTGGAACATTTCGAGCGGATCCGGCGACAATTCGAATCCGACGACAAGAAGCAGGGGCCACAGAGCACAGGGTCAGAGTCCAAGGCGCCGCAGACCATCGGCGACGCTCTTGAAGCGCTCAAGCTGGGGGGCCAACTTGATGGATTCATTGATGGACCAGTTACGAATGGGGACCATCCTTCTCCTGGCGGTGGGAAAGGTAAAGGGAAGGCCGGCTCGGCGATGATGCGAAGTGTCAGCGGCCAATCTACAAGCAGCAAGGGCAAGGGCAAATGGAAGAATAAGGCTGTCTCGGGTGGAGGCGGAGAGTCTGATTCCTCGCCCGATGTTGCTAATGGGGATGATGACTACATTGTCCGGACGGATCACTTGGTGAATTCTACGGACGGAGCGAACTAAGGCTATAGCTTTGTGTTGCAATAGAATGGGACGAGGGATGAGCATAGCGTAGAGTTGGAGGGCTGATATTCTCCATGTTGCATGTATATATTATGTTTGCATCAGATGCTGTATCGATACCAGGTGTCATTGCTCCGCTGTGGATCGGAGGTGACCGTGTTTATGCCTCTCAGCGAACGTTGATGATATGAATGGATTCGTCATAGAGTGCCTGTGTGGCGTTGTCTGGCCGTTCTTCGATAATAATAATGAGTGTCCTCACGTGGGAGACCTCCACAAGACACTCCAATCTACTTTGCTCCTAGTCTCCAACTACTCGGCACGGATACCTACCCTTATCGGGATCCGTGTGTCAATTCGGTCGATAATTATCAAATCGCCCCGGTGAGCCATCGGCCATCTGCAACTAGGTCCACTGAACTCCGTCACCCCGTATATATCGTGGCAAGCAGATCCGACTATCGACATTCATTATCTATCTCTGAGTCGAAATATGAATCATCAGCTCTGACTGCTGAATGCTATCTCGGAAGTGCTCCGTCGCCAAGTGATACCTCCCTTCAACCTCCCAGTCGGCATAAGCTTTCTAGAACCAGCCAAATTCCCGACCCAGACCCCAAGACTCCGAGGCTCCCACTCCCCTCCCAAACGCTAAGAAAAAGACTTCCCGCAGATCGTGCTCTTCTTTTTTGCCTCCTTCGTTCTGACTGGTCATCGGCGCCGTGTCATCGGCGACTTGGGCGAATTATCGTCTGCTACAGTACTTATCTGCCGTATCTGCCACTGCTTGCACGTATGGCGTTTGCCCGGCTTAGTTGACCGAAACGGTACACTCTACGGAGTAGGTACGTTATATGGAGTAGACCCGGGTTCTATCAGTTTATCATCTGGGTCCCAGACTCTCAGTTGCTGTGAATCCTGTAATGCTGTTGCGATTACCCCATATCCATTATGTAACAGTTGAATTCCCCCGCGATCAGCTGGTGGGCCTGTAAGGGACAATCTGGCGTACGCAGTACATCCCAGAATCCAGTTTCCGACGATGGCAAATAGCATAAGGACTTAGATAGAGACTGAATGAAAGGGTCAGGTTGAAGAAGGTTTCACTTAACTTTTGAGGCTTTTCTACCAAGTACCTGCTACCTAGTACGGTAGTACCTACATTAGACCCTACCTAAGGCTGCCAGAATTGAGTTTCCCCGGCCGGGGTAAATCCTACCACGCAATTTACTTATAACCTGACGCTATTGCTGCTCTTCTCTTGACTTCGCTCCTCAAATTATTTGACTCTTGTCGCATTCAACACTCGATTTACTGTAATATCTGCGACATGTCTGCGGAAGAGAAGCACACAGGCCAGGTCGATGACGACGCCCAACTTGCGGCCATGGGCCACAAGGCCGAGTTGGATCGCAATTTTTCTATGCTGTATGCTTTTCCCTTTCTGTCATGCACAGGCCAGCCTTTTTGAGTGATTACTGACGGATGTTGGATTTAGATCGATGTTAGGACTGGCGTTTGCGATCCTGAATGTATGATTGTTCATCCACCGGATCTGCGATATCGGACACTAATGGCTATATTGTGCTTAGTCGTGGACGGCTCTTTCAGCAAGTTTATCGCTGAGTCTTCCTTCTGGAGGAAGCGTGAGTGTTGTCTGGGGTAGGTTTTTCATACCTTGGGTTCGTCGTCAGGATCAGCGCTGACTTCGAGGTGCAGGTTTGATCACTGCGGGAATCTGTAATCTCTGCATAGCGGCTTCGCTATCTGAGTTTCTGTCTGCGTATCCTACGTGAGTATTTTCGACTTTGGTTATTGAGACTCGGATTGTTGATGGCATCTAGGGCTGGTGGACAGTATCATTGGGTTGCAGGTGAGTTATTGATATTCTTCGTGAACATGCAAGAGGCTGGTGCTGACTTTTCTTCGCGTTGTAGTTAGTGAGTTATCCTCTGCTATTGCAATTATGGACACGGCTAACAGTTGGAAGTCTCCTGGGAGAGATGGATGCCGATTCTCTCTTGGATTACTGGCTGGGTGAATGTTTCTGGCTGGGTAAGATGATCCATCTCGGAGCTTTGGGTCTGCTGCTGATGAAACAGGTCGCTCTCGTCGCTACTGGTGGACTCTTGGGCAGTCAGTTGATCCTGGGTGTCATTTCCCTGATGAATCCGGTAAGAGTGCTTGCTACCACACCTGCTACTGTTGACTGACACTTTCCAGGCATATGAGCCGCAACGTTGGCATCAGTTCCTCATCTACATTGCTTATAATATTGCTGCGTTCATCATCAATGCCTTGATGAACTCTGTTCTTCCCTTGGTTACTAAGAGTGCCTGTATGTCTCTTTGCCAATGGTTTCGTGAACTATACTGATGGTATCAAGTCATCTGGTCCATCACTGGGTTAACCGTCATCTGTATTACGGTGCTGGCATGCGCGTCGCCAAACTACAGCTCGGCAAAGTGAGGACTCCTGTGGTCTTACGAACTAAAGGGACCTGCTGACAAAGTCAGATTCGTTTTTACCGATTTCATCAATGAGACAGGCTGTATGTGTTGACCACTACGTTTAATGAATTGAAGCTGACAAACACAGGGCCTGATGGCGTTGCCTGGTTGCTTGGAGTACGTTATTTCATCAAGTCAATACATACATGATTCTGACTACGATGCAGTTGCTTCAAGGTGGACTCGGTGTTACAGGATTTGTAAGTTCCACGCCTGCGGACGTTTGTACTCGTCCTCAAGAGCTAACATTTCAAAGGACGGTGTCGCACATATGATTGAAGGTAACTCGTTCTCGATACAATGTGGCGACATGAGCTTACGTGCAAAGAAATTCCCCGTGCTTCGGTTGTCGGCCCCAAGATCATGATCGGCTGCGTCTGTATCGGAACTGTGACCGGTACCATCTTCCTGATTGTTTTGCTCTTTGTTGCCGGAAACATCGACGATGTGATCAGTTCGGCCGCCGGACCTCTCCTACAGATCCTCAAGAACGCAACCAACAGCAATGCCGGAGCCATCTGCCTGCTCATGTAGGTCGTTTCAAAAAGCCTCGTGGTTCATTTCTAATGCTCTCTAGGTTCCCCCTGGTCTGCATGCTTTTCGCAACCATTTCCATCATGACCACCAGCAGCCGTATGATTTTCGCTTTTGCAAGGTGATTATCTGCCATCTTTAAGGACTGTAGATTCTGTGCTGACAAGCCTGGCAGAGATGGAGGTCTTCCAGCTTCTCGCTTCTTCAGCAAGGTGCACCCCAAGCTGAAGGTTCCTTTGAACTCTTTGTATCTGAATTTGGCACTGGTTGTCATCTTTGGATGTATCTTCCTCGGCTCTACCAGGTCGGTTGTGTGGTGACGGCACCATAGTACCGTGGCTAACATTCACTCAGTGCTTTCAACGCTATTGTCTCGGCTTCCGTCGTCCTGCTCGATATTGCATATGGTATGCCAATTGCAGTCAACTGCCTGCGCGGACGTAACATGCTCCCCGAGCGCCCATTCGTCCTTCCTAATATTGTTGGCTGGATTACCAATGTGGTATGTATTTCTTACGGTCCCTCTCGAGGCGAGAACTCATGTGTTGCTTTAGATCTCCCTAGTCTACATTGCAGTCACCACTGTGCTCTTCCTGTTCCCACCAGGGCTCCCMGTAACGGGCAGCAGCATGAGTAAGTTCCATGCACTCGCTATGCAGAACTAAGCAACTACTGACACCGCTGCGTCTAGACTACTGCGTCGCTGCCTTTGGCATTATCATCGTTATCTCCACTATTCAGTGGTTCGTTGATGGTCGCAAGAACTTCACTGGACCACGAACCGATATGGACATCTTGACAGGACAACTCCCTGCTGGCCATTACCCTGTCGACAACAGTAATGCTGCGCATGTAGTACCTCTCGAAAAGTAGCCTCAGGAAGGCGCTTGCTGTATAGTAAATTACTGAGTGACATTTTTACTACCAATGCTATTTCAATACATCTGAGACAATATCTAACAATTTCAGTCGTAGCTATACATAAGTGTACGACGTACGACGTAGAATAGTATAGACCTTTTAAGACGTGGCATTACGTCATGGCAACCTCAGGCCGCCAATCCTTCCCCAACGATCAACAGCTAGGTCCCCACAGCTTTGAAGACCGCCACCAAACTGCTCCCAGCACTATCTATTCGACTGCTAAACATTTCATCCATATCGATAAGTTCCACAAACTTTCAACCAGATTTGGTTCCTTGTTTGATCAAATCAGGGCGCGGGATTCGCACTGTCAATCGACTCACTGAATCAACCCGCATACTGGAACTGCAACCTCAACATAAAGCCCCACATCTATACTAGCTCCCACCACCAACAGTAAACAATGCTCTCATTCTCTTTACCCTCCTTCAGTTTCCTACCATCCTGGAAACGCCAAACAGTCTTCAACATCCCATCAGTGAAGATCCATGAGATCGACACAGCCCACGAAAAGCCCGCCAGGGCTTTGAAGCACCTGCTCAAACTGAACCATGCAAATCACGCCATCTTGTACAATGAGCGGAGATTCCATAATCATGCCCCTCATGTTGGTTTTACGCCCCAGCTCTGGAGATCAGGTTGCTGACGTTAAGTAGATCCTCAGTTCAGCGTTTCTGCAAGGTGCAGACGCGGATGATCTGAACCGAGTGTATGACGCTGAGTCGAAGACGCTGGAGCCGTGGGTTGATGCTCCGGGGGAGATTAGCACGTACGACTGGCGGGATTATCTCGGACGGCGCGAGTATGTATCTCTGGTTATTGTGCGGGATGAGCTGCAGAGTGTGGCTGATGTTGCATAGGTACCAGCGGGCGTTTGTGGATTTCTTTGAGGATGAGCTTGTGCGGCATGGGTATGACTGGAAGAAGGTCGTAGCGGACTATCTGTTCTCCGGCAAGGAGCCACTGTTTAGTTCGCTTGTTGCTGATCGTGAGTGGTTAAGGATGGTTGGTTGAGGGAGGATATGCTGACATTGTGCGTTTAGTTGGGCATCCGTTGATTCATCTTGGTTATGCCTTTGAGATGTCGAGTCGGGAGGTCGCTATGGAAGCGTTAGGACTTGCGGCGACTTGCTACAACGACATACACAAGTACATTGATGATCCGTCCTATTCCCAGGCGGAATCGTCGTACCATTCTACTTCGCTTTTTGAGATCCTGGCCAAGGTCCGGGCTGATAAGCGCTTCAAGGGGCTGTTCGCAACACCTGGGGACCATAACTTGGAGACTCTCTTCCGGCACCACGAGGCGGCTCTACTGGACCATTGGAACGCTTGGAAGATTGAGGATCCAGTGCCCCAGTTCTGTGAGAGCCAGCAACTCGGAGCCGCCTTGCTCACCGCTACACAAGCAGATCCCACAGAGAAATACGATTTCTTTCTCGTCCATATCCTTACCACCAGCCATGCAGTCCGKATTCTCCTGCCGTTGATTCCTGCGCGGTTTCAAGTTCCACTCGTCAGGCAGTGGTGGCTGATGTCGCTGGCAGTGTACATCGCCCAGCTCAGACCGGAGATCGATCTTGACCGAATTCGCAATTACGACCTGCAAGGAAGAGACTGGAAATGGACAGCGAAGCAAGCGGTTAAGAGCAAGCATTCTACGGATGCGCATTATGTCAAGGCTCTGCGTGCTATGCGGGAGGCAGCAGCAACATGGGGAGACTCGGATGAGCTTTATCTGAAGGCAGCTGTGAAATTTGGAGAGCAGTTCGACGGTTGGGGAGGATTCGTATGATGGGTTGTTCAGCTACTTGGTCTCTCTTCAGCGATTGTATTACTATGAACTCTCAATTTGGGTAATCGCTATTCACGGCGATCTAGAATGCTTAATCTAGTCAGTTATGGAATCACTCATATTGCGGTTGGTAAAGACCCCTATTTCTTCACCTTTAAGTAATGTCTCATCACGTGAGCTTCATAAATCGAAAGCTGTAACAATCACGTGATATAGCTAAGCTTTGTTTGAAATGTTTGCAATTCATTTTCCCATCAACACCACCACTGTCGCCTTCAGGAATAATGATACAATTTCTTGTGCAATTTGCTCTATCTCAAGTCCTCATACTTACCTTGACAGTCTGTACTCCTGCTATGTGAGGATCATTAGCTGTCATGCCTGCTTCCCCAGAGAACCCCGAGACAGATGTTGATACGTCCTTATATCTCCACGCCGAGCTCCTCCCAAACATCCGTCACATCACACTCTACATCTCATTAGCGGCCAATCTAGGTGTCCAGAACGTCCAACCACTGATAACCCTCTCAGAATCCCGTCAATCCGTCTCGGTATCTCTACCGAAACCCTTCGACCATGTGACGGATACCATCAAGCTGCCCGCGCGGGTTAATGAAGCCTCGCGGCGCGTTCTAGCCACCAATAGACAGGGCGCTGCGACTACCGCGGATAGGCGACGCGAATTCTCGTTCCGAATGCAGATTGATGATTCGGATACTTCGCTTCCGTCCAAGGATGCGCTCATCGATGATTTCGTGCCCTGGACCGCGGCGGATATGTCGCCGTCGACGAGACTGCGTTGTCGCGGGTGTGAGAATGTCTTTCTGGATACGCCTCGGTGCGCGGATATACAGTCTGGGGATTCTGGTTTGGAAGGCTGGACGTGGAAGGACCTGCCGAGCGGGAACTGGGCCGAGATGATGGATTTCTGGCATTGTCATAAACCTGACCCTCCTGAAGGCCATGGCCATGGGGAAGACCCCAATGCTCAGACCAAGGGCTACGGAGCGGCGAACCAGGTGGTGGCGACGGCCGGGACGGTCCTCGTGGACGTGGCGACATTTCTGGTCTCGGAGGCGGATTGCAGAGGATTGAAGAAGGTAAGGCTTGCCTTGTTGGTGTTTTTGATTTGTCTTTTACACTCTCGGGCAAAAAGAAGGAGGCCTTTTCGATTCCATGGACGGGTCTTCGATACAATTGCCCTATATTGATTTAAGCTCCTCTGAGTGGGACGGACTGACGTGCAGTCGTGATGGCAAGATGGCCTGGCTTTTGGGGTGCAGTTATCCTCCTTATGAGATGGATTTCGCTCTTCTTCTGCTTAGGCCATTTTGCCGTTGTGGCTCGCGGAGGCCCGTCTGATGCTCTGAGGTTAAGGCTGCCTCGCTCGTTTCTTCGTTGATTTCCGTCTATGGGACTTCCCAGAGGTATGGGATCGACGCGATTAGGCAAGGTACATACAAGCTGTAGAGGTAATGCCTTAGCTGTCGTAGGTTAGATAGAGTTTGATTCTGAATACAATTGTCATTTCTGCGCATGCACAGTATCAGCTCGCTGATCCCGACTTTTTACCATAGGTACAACCTCCAACTGAAGAGTCCGCCCAAAAGAAAGAAATATCTTTGAACTGCGGCCAATGCAACGCCACGATCGGTATAGAAGACGCCGTAGCCCAGGGCTGGCGCCTCTTCAAGACAAGCCTATCCGCCAATATCTCCCAAGACCCATCAACATGGGAAACCCACCCCATCGAAACCATCGTCGCGGCTCAACTCCTCGAGCTCATCGAGCGGGAAAGCGCCCGTCGCTTCGTCATCCACTGTGACAGGCCAAATGGACTCCTGGTACGTAACCCCTTCAAAGCAGTCTATCAATGTAACTAACGATATGAAGCTATGGGTCTTCAACCCAGACTTTCGATACTCCAGCTCCAGCGCAGAGCATACTGTCTCCTCGCAGCGGGCGTTGAAGGTCCTCTTCCAGGAGATTGGGGACGTAGATAGAATTTTGAATCCGGGTACGGGTTCGTCGCTATCGCTGGAGGAGGTGAGGGTCCCTGAGTCTGTCTATGAGGCGGTTGAGCGAGATTTGAAGGCAAGGAATGAGATGCTGCCGGCTTCTGCGAGGGAGTTTCGGGAGTGGAGGGTTGGGGCTTTGCATCGGTTTGAGAGGTGAGTGTGAATGGTTGTACCTGTGTAATTAGCATTAGTGAGAATGAGAGTGAATGGGATTCACTTTCTGTTGCAGATGTAAGATTGACGATATTCACAAGCTTCCTTCTATCTCGCGCATAAAATCTCGCGAGATCACACCTCTCAACTCATGTCTTAACATTTCCATCTACTCTACTCCAAGATAAACCAGTAGCTTGCTATATCTACTTACTGTGAGTAGCCTTACCTACATTAAAAGTTTGCTAATAAAATACTAACATCCAAAGCTCACTCACAACCAACCCAAGCACACAATGCCCCCTAGCAATAACAAAACTCCCAGACCCTGGGGAAGCCACTGTTCAGGTGTGACCATGGACAGCACCGGCTGCAGAAACTTCATCGAAGGCGGCGCATTCATGGAAAGTGACGACGAGGAGGGCCTAGCCTGGCAGCATGTCGAAGATATCTCCATCCTGGCGCCTGAGGAAAAAGACTTTTCAACAGGTGCGACGGGCCGTAATCGCGAGAGTGGCTTTAAGAATGGTACCTCTGGTTCTGCTGAGGCGAGTGGTTCTAAGGAGGGTCTTTTTGGCTTTGGTGCGAAAGGGAAGGGTCCTGCTGGGAAGAACTGAGTAAGTTGTCGTGCCGGGCTTTTCGTTGAGAGAGGGCTGATGTGATTGTTAGCAGGGATCTCGTAGGGACATCGGATGGCCAAGAGAGAAACGGTTATGTTGTTGAAGGGGTTGGATGCTTAAAGGGAGTGGGATATATGAGGTGCATGGGATGTGCACTGCATAATTATGTCTGAGGCTACATAGTCTCCTCATTCCCTGAAGGTACTACAAGTAGGTCAAGTATGAACGGGTATTCATGATCATTGTTATCTGTCAATAGCACTCAATACAATTGCGAAATTCGTCCGAATCTGTCTATTGACTACCCTCAAATGGCGTCTCAAAAGGTGGCTCTGCCTGAGGCGTGATCCTCGCCAGATGACG